AAGATATTCAGAATGAAATGGACTAAGAAAGTAAAAAGAATGCTGAAAGAAGTTTCTTCGTTGAATATCAAATCTAGTGATTAATGCAGAAAATTTTAAGTATGTTTTTCGAAAAAATGGCACTGACGAATATTCTTCAGCATCATGCTGAAGAATATTCGTCAGTCTATACCGGTCTGAAAAATGGTACGCTCATTCAATTAAATCCCAAAACAAGAGAAAAAACAATTGTGTATTCACCAACTATTGATAAAGCAAAGACGATTGCATGTGATAAGTATCTCACAAACTAGTCGGCAAATCACTTTTTGCTATCACGTTCTTCTCTTTATTTTCGCAGGTGGTGATGAATATGATGTTCACGAATATTAGGCATTAGAAAATATTCTGAAAATGAACTGATTTTTGCTGAAGCTTACAGTGGCGTATATAAATTTAATGTTAATACAAGTATTATTGTTTTTTTTTCTTTCATAAAATGATATTTACTCTTTTTCTCCTGTTAGAAACTATTGTTCAAATTATATCAGCTAATGGTACACGTTTCAACGATCGTCCATTACGTTTTGTCAACGATTTGAATATATTAGATAAACAATACATATTTTTTACGGATTCCGATTGGAAATATCAACGTCGAAATTTTCCACTTGCTATCTTGCGAGCAGATCCACGAGGACGGTAAGTATCAAATCACGTGCTATGCTCTTATAGTGTTTATATGCCATGTGTTTCTCATAGGCTAATTCGTTATGATATGATAAATGGAAAGTGCGTATATTTAATGATCAATTGTCGTTCTCGAATGGTGCGCAATTGGCAGATGATAAACAATCTGTTCTTGTTTGCGAAGCAACATTGGCTCGGATTATGAGGTAGTGATATCCAAATAAATAGTCAGGTTTGTAGCATTTATTCTGTTTTCACTTTGTAGATTTTGGATAGATGGACCAAAATCGGGTCAGACTGAAGTGTTTATTAACAATCTGCCTGGCCCATGTGATAACATACGCATGACAAAGTGAAAAATGTACTGGGTTGGCTTGCTGTCGTGAGAAAATCAGATAAAGCATCATTGGTAGATCGTTTGTGAAACTGGCCACTTGTTCGAAGATGGATATCTGTAAGTAAGAAAGGAGAAAATAAAACATTTTCAAATTGAATTATTTACTCCATAATGATGTGCCTTCTATTTGGAAAAGTCTAAAGTTATTTTTATACGCGTGCCTAGTGGCGGTACTAGGAATTGTAGCCAGGGTGGGCTCAGCCCGGCTGTGCTCGGAAAGGAAAAAGGGTAGTGTTTATTTTCCCAACCAAGTTAATTTCTCTCCCTACCTACGCCGCTCTTAAACTTTCGTACAGACAAGAAAAGCTTTATTCTAAAAAATACTAAGAAACTAGTAATTCTAAAAATCTTTCAGGGTGGACTCAGCCCACCCTAGCCCACCTGTGGTACCACCACTACCCGTGCCCATCATCAAACACAATATTTGTATATTTTTAGTATTTACCAACTGAAATTATTCGATATTTCATGCCTTCAAATCGCTATGGACTTGCAATTGAGATTGATAATCGTGGAAAGATATTACGTTCGTTACACGATAGTGATGGTGTTAAAGTGCCGTCTACTTCTCAAGTAACAGAATATAATGGATATTTATATTTTGGTTCATACTATTTACCAAACATTGCAGCTTTTAAACTATAAATTATTGTTTGTCTTCTACGGTGAAACTTTCAATCAACATTTGTTTGTTTATTATGTTTTGTCTAAAAGATAATTATAAATGTAGTTTCGTACCGCAGCGTAAGGCTCGTTTTCTCTCAAACGTCCTAGATCTTGTCTCAAACTTTGTCTTTCTTTTGTAAAACGAATGTCTGATCGTTTTTCATCCCTTGTTGTATGGTTGGATTTCCTCTTTTGCGAAATTGATCTTCGGTTTTTGTAGGAGCCGCTAAAGTGTTAAGCTACATTTGTATTCACACGATTCGTACAGTGGTTGTTAGTACAGATTTCGATTCCAAATATGCCTTCATTTTCCATTGAAGAGGTATAGAAAGTGAGAAAAATACAAAATAAGCGGACTATCTCTGTGGTGAAAACCCATTTTTTTCTCAATGTTTACGCTCCCGCACTCGCAAGCTATCTCAACCTTTTTATACCGTACAAGATAGAGAATTGAATTCTGCACAAAATGAGACTAAAATAAAGTTTAGGTCTTCGATCGTTTTTTGCATAGAACGGTTTTACTCACGCAGTATCAAAATTGCGGTGTCAAAAGTGTACCTAAATTTTTATATTAAAACAATTGTAGTTCTCAGAGGACAATTTATTTTTTTCTTTTAAATGTCAGGATTTGCAGCGCAAAATTTAAGGATGTTTTTCTGCAAGTGCGCTCTTGCGGTAAGCATTGTTAATGGAGCTATACTGACCATGATGTTTTTGAAAAATCATAAAAAGCTTTTATCTTTCGGCCATTTTTTCTACTCTCCTTCGTTCCACACACAGAGTCAGTAGACCGTGAATATCATCTTGGTATGCACAAAAAAACAGTTTCAAGAAACTTTTTGTATGCAAGTAAGGTTCCGATAATTCAAAGAATCCGGGCCAAAAAATGAATCTGGTCGCCTTCTATTCACAAGTCGAAAAGTTCGAGATGCATGTCGAACGGGCATCTCGAACGTGTTTCGACTCAATCTGACCTTGGACTCGTGTTTCCCATGGTTGAAACTCTTTAAGAGTATATTTTTCACTTAAAGATACATTTTCAGACGTACTAACAGTGACATCTATAGTCGCCTCTAAATGTATGGTTGTTTATCGATGACGTCATTTGTTTGTTCACATACATACAAGTAACGCTCGCTAAGGCTCGCCGGCTCTCCGTCCTTACGGCGTCAACAAGAAAAGTTTCCGTACATTTTTTGTGAAACCTTAGAAACAAGTAACGCCAGCTTAAGCTAGCGGCCTCTGCACCCCTAATCGGCGAAAGTAAACATATTTTCGCTGTAAAAACTCCCTATGTTGAGAAAAAACTTACTTTTTCGCTCACTCGTTCTCGTCGGTGGCGAGCGAGCTCTCGCCACCTCCTCGTCTTCGATCGTACAAAACTTTCATACCACAGAAAGGGAAAGATTTATGAACGGGGAAGAGGCAGAAAAGAAAATTCGTCCCCTCCTAGTTCGCCGCATTAGTTCGCCCTCCTAGCTCGTCCGTTGTACGCCAGCATGATATCCAAAACGAGTCTTTTCAGAACTGAAAGAATACTTTCAAAAAAATAGTTCGGTGGGTATTATACTAGCCTCGCTCCACCTCGTCCTCGCTCGTGTGAAAACTTCGAAGCAAGTCGTATCCAAAAAAGGAATATTCTTCCAGAGTAAAACTTCGGAAAAGTCCAAAAATCTTGACTGGGCAATAGCCAAGAATTAAGATTCTTGTCTTGTAGTAACCCTTACTACACGACTAGAAACCCTTACTGAACGACTAGTAACCCTTACTAGTCAAGTAGTAACCATTACTAGTTCACTAGTGACCCTGCTAGTCTATGTAGTAGCCTTTAGGAATTAACTGATATATCATTAGCATATTATGAGTGAAAAGAATTATTTTGCGTCTGCCACAGTGCGACATCTATAGACGCCTGTGGTTGTTTATCAATGACGTCAATTATTTGCGGACATACAGACAGACAGAAAGACATACACGCAGACAGACAAGTAACGCTCGCAGAGGCTCGCTGGCTCTCCGTCCTTACAGACCAACTCGCTCTTCATCGTCGGCGGCAAGCTCCCTTCGATCGCTCAAAGTTCAAGGTTTCGGTAAAACGTCGAGTTTCTTTGAAGAAAGAGAATTTTGGAAGCCTAAGGATAAGGTTCTGCTATCGCATACATCTCAAAAGTCAACAATAGGTTTGACTCCATATTTAAGAAAACAGTTCTAGGTTTTAATCAAACGCCGAGTTTCTAAGAATTTTCGAATTTTGAGGATACAATTTTGGTATCTCAGAGTTTTCAAAAGTCAGCTGGAGGTTTGACTCCATATTTTAGATACTTTTCCAAAGTCAATCATAGGTTTGACTGCAGAAAGTTCAAGGTTTCGGTAAAACATCGAGTTTCTCTGAATTTTGGAGGTTTGAGGGTCAATTTTTGGTTTCTCATACTTTTCAAAGGTCAGGTGAGGGTTTGACTCAATATTTGTGAAAAGAGTTCTAGGTTTTGATAAAACGTCGAGTCTCTAAGAGTTTTGGAAGTTTGAGGATCAAGTTCTGGTATCCCATACTTTTGAAAAGTGAGCTGGAGGTGTGACTCTATATTTATGAAAACAGTTCAAAGTTTTTGAGCAGACCTCGAGTTTCTATGAGTTTTGAAGGTTTGAGGCTCAAATTTTTGGTTTCTCATACTTTTCAAACGTCATCAAGAGGTTTGATTGCAAACTTACGCAAAAAGTTCAAGGTTTCGATAAAATCTCGAGTTTCTATGAATTTTGGAACTTTGAGGATCGAGTTCTGGTATCCCATACTTTTCAATAGTCAACAATAGGTCTGACTCCAAATTTATACAAAAAAGTTCAAGGTTTCGATAAAACCTCGGGTTTGTATAAATTTTGGAAGTTTTGGGATCAAAGTTTAATACATCATTTGAGTTCATCCTATTTTTTCGGTATCACAGGGGTGAAGAGAAGTATAGATAGAAATGAATTATTTGTGCTCCGACAGCGTAGGTCGTCTTCGGACGGCTGTGGTTGTTTATCGATGACGTCATTTGTTTGCGGACGTACAGACACACAGACATTAAAGGTTCCAAGACTCTCCGTAAGGACGGAGAGAACATTAATGACCCCAAGACTGTCCGTAAGAACGGAGAGAACATACAGACAGACAGACAGGCATGCATTAATGGTTCCCAGACTCTCTGTAAGGACGGAGGGAGTTTTTCTTTTTCCGTTCTCTCGTTGGGAGTTGACGCAATAGACGCACGCTCTTCTATCGATGACGCATATAGAGAGTCTTTATTTCGCTAAGTGTCTAATAACATACGCGAATAGTCATAGTGGTAGAGGTGAATATATTTCTACATTCAGCTTCTATCTACTATCCCTAACGATGCGCATCATTAGTCACAGTGGGAAGGCATGAAAGAAAGAAACACAATTTGCTCATCGACTGCAGTTATCTGAGACACATTCTAGACTTGAGACGCAGTAGTGTAAGAATGGCTATACCAAAAAAATTTGAGTACACAAATGAATCGGCTGTCAATGCAAATTACATTTGTTCAATCTGTAATGCACCGCTGGAAGACCCAATGTGCACAACCTGTGACCATACATTTTGTCGTGATTGTATCACAGAATGGATCAACAGCAATAACACGACGTGCCCTGAATGTCGTGCACATCTCACATTCAGCTCCCTTACTATGGCGCCCCGTATTATTAGCCGAGTACTCAATGACCTACCAGTAAAATGCACTTTATGTGGACGTGCAGGGCTAAACAAAGGTGCTTTTGAAGACCATTTTCTGCGAGCTTGTCCTAATGCTGACGTGAGTTGTAGCTGTACTGCAGCAGATATGTTATGTTCCTGGAAGGGTTCACGGAATGATTTATCTGCACATTTAACTACATGCCCTTATAATGCAATACGCCCAACACTTACCAAACTAAT